AGGGGGACTTGACTTGCATGTGATTGTTTTTAAAATTCGTTAGAATATTGCGTTAGAGGATATATGTTGTGAGATATTTGTCCGCGTAAATAGTGTTTGGATCGTTAAATGTAAATATATATTTCAAAACTATTTCGGACAATCGGAATACGGCATATAAAAGCATAATGGGCAATCACAAGTCGGTTCTTCATTCGCAGGATAAAGTTATACGAGGCTAACCACAAGTCAGTTGGTCACTCTAATGTCACTAGAAACAAAGTGCAATAAGTCATTCGTTGTAGATTTTGTATAAGGCTTCTTTGGCCACGCGTAGGAGACAATGGAATTAGAGCCCGAGTTCATACGGATCCAAACAAGCCCAAAACATAGGGTGTAGCATCAGGTATGAAGTCGCAACTCGCGAATTATAACGTCGCGACTGCTTTATTTATGCAAGTTATGATTATTCATGAGATGAGATATGATGTGTTCAGAGCGTTAGATGAGAAGCAAGTTTACAAGCAAAGTTTTATAGCGTGCCCTCGAATTTTCCAAATTTATTGAGAAATTTAAAGTATAAGAAGAGGGGCGTTACAACAGCCGCCTAGGGTCCTGGGTTTCTCCCCCGACAGTGGTGGTGAAATCATTAGGGGTCTTGATGGCTGCTTTGTCCAAGAATGTGCATATGTGCAAGGTTAATGGTTGACGTCGTCGAGTAAGCGGCAGAGAGGATTTCGGAAGTGTCCTTGTATTTTGGTGTGTCAGCGTGAATCGTATAGAAATTGATGAAGATGGCCTGATTTTGACCAAAATTTTCTAGGTCTAAAAGCTTTGACCGGACCAATTGACGACCTCTGGTGGAATTTTTGCCTACAATTTTAGGAGGTGAACGAGGATGAGAAGATCTTCAGGATGATTTTAAAAAAAGAAATCAATCGGAGGTGGTCCGCTGGCAGTTGGCGACTGGCAACTCTGGAAGTTGGAAGTGGGCACCAGAGGCGGCGGTTGACCCCGAAATTATTTATAAATATATAAATATATTTATATATTTTTTAAATACATTTATTGAATATAATATATATCTTGAAAGGATAAGACGTAGGAAATTAAGGAAAGTTTAAATGTCTTGTCATTACCTCATCTATCCACATCAGCATTTTATCCAGATGGGGTGACTATTGCATCTTACCAAATTGACAACTAAATGTATCTTTTCGTTGAATAACATATTG